CTTGGCGAAGCCTAAAAAGCCTTCCTCCTAACGGACCATTGAATTTCAGCAAAATTATGCGCGCTCAGAAGCGAAGAAAGGCCATCATCGATAGCAACAACCGTTAGGATCTCGCAGATATAGAAATTCCCCGGCTTTTTCAAGCGTAAACGAAACCATTGCATCATTTCGATACGGATTGGTCAGTTTTCGCGATACTGGACTACCGATTTCACGAGTTCCACGAATCACCGTAACATCTCCAAGCCTCGTAACGACAAGAAAGATGTTTCATTTGTCGAACTAATTGTTCTGCTTACAGGGTTTCACGCGGGGAAGCTCAGCCTAACGACGTAACGGGATAAACTCGACTAACAACTCGTAATGACTTTTCAAACAAATTAGGGAGTTACTGTTATGCAAACGGAAAGGCGAAGTGAAACTTGAGCACACAGTTTTCCCGTTCGATCAGAGACACGATACGCGGACTGACAATGAATCGCTTTACCTCGCCGAGAAGTGAAATTCGATGTCGGTAAAGGGGGTCAATGCTCGAAATGCTCGGCGATTTAATTACCAAGAACAAAGCTGACGATAAAAGAAGTCAATAACAGTATTCCCGAGTATCTTTCTTGCGCCGGACGCGATTCCCACATTTCACCGGGTATCTCTTGAATTTCTATCTGAGAGGGGGCTCTTAAATAATTACTTCACGCGAGGAAACTTGAAAAGCAGCGATAGGAGTGTTACACCGAGTCAATTGGAAACTATGTACTTCTTTATCTAATCGCCGTGCCTGCATTAATTACACGGAATCTCGAGCAATAGAACCGCCCATTCATTTATCCGATCCACGCCTTTGACGCTCCTTTTACCTTCTCCGCGTTTCTTCCATTCCCCGCATCTTTCACTGATTCCTCGCATTGTATTCCATCGTGCGAAACAGAACCGAATATCTTGCAAATAACAAGACTGTAACAATTGACCCGAGTCGAGAGGAACGCGAGCAGTTAATGGCCTGAGAACCGAAGCATCCGAAGGAGATCCTCGACAAAGAAATTCGTAACTCTAAATTTAGAGCCGGCCGTAATGCATTCGGCAATGATCCCCGTGACGTCAGGCCCGTGTAGAAAGTTGACAAGAAAAAAATCTACATTCCTGCATGCGTTCCGGACAGTTTTACATTCACCGTCGCCTCGCCGCCGGCGTCTACTAGAAGAGTCCAGCCGCGTGCATGCGCCAGATACGAGAAGCCCGTTCCTTCTTCATATCGTATTCTGTCGACGCTTACCCGAGAAGGGTCACGTACCGGGGACATGCAACTAATTACGGCGATCAGATGTCGTTAAAGATCTACGACGAAAATCAGCTTCATAATTCCTGCCCCTTTCACCTTTCTCTCGTCTCCCCTCTCCTTGCTCGTTCAGAGCTTTTTTCCTCCGTTAACTTGAACCGAACACTTTCGTTCCATTACAACAGACACATCAATGGTAGATGGACATTGTTTTAAACAATATCAGAAACTACCGGCTGTTTCGAAGAAACCTTCCTATCTCAAGGTCGTTTCAAGGTCTTCGTAGTTTCACCGATTCTTAATCATTTATCGTGCCTTTTCATTCACGGTTTCGACGCTGGAGCGAACAATATGTCTTCCAACGATACATTGATAATTTCTATTCGTCCACGCGCCGAAGATTAGTCTGACGTGCGGCGCGGTATCAACTTGAAACTGTTTCGAAACAGGTTCACCGTAGCGGTGACACGGATCGGCGCGATGAGATCACGCGCAACAAGATTTTTACCCGATTTCTGCCGTTCGTAAATAAATCCGCGATTGACGGAACGCGCGGGAGTACGCGCCAAGCCTTGAAGTCTGTAACCGGAGTCGTTCGTTCGTTCGCTCGTCTTGGGTTCCAGGACTCGCCAAGGATCTTTCTCTCCTTCTCTCTCTTTCTCTTTCTCTCTCTGTCTTCCTCGTTCGCCGACCGGACCTCTCCGCGTACCGATGGAAGAAAGGAGGGGGATGCCCCGAGAGCGGTCCAGCAACTCCCCAGAAAACGTGATCGCGCGCGCGCACGCATCAGAAACGTACTTACGTTTCGCTGGTAGTACTCCAACTAACGTTGGCTAGCGATGGAGCTAATGTTATGCTTGTCGCGTACCGCTATTCTATATTTCACTGAGCCGCTGAGAATTATGGACGTTTCAATGGTTCCAGCTTTCAGAGACGTCTAAACTGGAGCAATCGGTTCTGAGAAATTTCGCGGAACTTTTTATATTTATCGTGAAGAACGTTTCAATGGCATCGTTCATCGGCTAAATCTACCTCGCCGGATAGATCCCTCACGGGATACCTGAGAAATTGATCAAGGACAGTTTTTATTGACGATATGAATTCTGAAATGAATCCCGGATACCAAGAATCCGCAGACTGGTCGTACGTTTTCACCGACACATCGCGCTCTTTGTGTTCGATAATAATTCAGGCTGTAGAATGGATCCCCGGACTTGAATTTCAAACGTTACAGCCGTAAGTTTCGGAGTGTCGCGTGATTAGATTGGAGGCTGATGTCATTTTTCTAAATGAAATGCAAACATTGCGACACAGGCCGCGACGTTATCTACGGCGAGCGAAATTTGTAAGAGCTGTAAATTATAACGGATCGAGCGAGACCTGTGTTCATCTTAGGGTGCTGCGTTCACTTTCGATGATTCGCGTTATCAGGGTCATGTTCCCCCAACTTGTACTATCTCACTAATAGCAGTAGTAGTCTGTTACAACACGTGAAAGGAGACTTCGGTGTCTCCGAAGCAACAAATTCAGGAAGTCCTGGTGAACTGAGAAAGATACTCGATAGAACTCTAACATCACTGAACATCATATTTGTCTCCTTAGAATAGTTCACACGAGAACTCCGCCTACAGTCTGTTCTACGAAACAAGAGATCCAACGTGCTAATAACCATCCCCTCGATCATGAACTCATAAGTTCCGTGTATGATAACTGGTACAACTGTCATTGCTACATCTAGCTTCCGAACATCATTGCTACCAGCAACAGCACAGGAACTTGGCTGACTCGTTAGAGTGACCGTAAGAAGCGGCTAGCCTCGGGTCCCCGCAGGGTCGTTTCACTTTCTTTCATTGATTCGTTCTTCTCGAACGATTATTCTCTTTTGTTGGCCCTCGATGGATCGAGCCCATCGCTAGCCACCGCCGCCGCCGCCGCCGCCGCTTCACGCATACACGACTTTCGCCCGTGAGACGTTGCGAGGGGAACCCGCGCGTCGAAAGGCGTTGGTAGTGGTGCTGCGACGCCAGGAGGGAGGGTTGATTGGTAGGGGCAAGAAAATACGGCGCGAGAAAGGGAGAAAAGGGGGACGGGTGAACGAAGAGAGAGCGAGAAAGAGGGGAAAAAACGACGTCCATTGAGAATTACGGTATTCGTCGAGTAGAGGAACGGACCCAGCCAGGTCTGGAGGGGCTCATTAGAAACTCGAAGCAACGGCGCGCGCGCGCGCGAGCGAGCGAGAGCGATCGCGCGCCTGCACACGCGAGTAATATTATTTCCTCGTGGAACGCAGGGGCTAAGGCCGATCAAATGCCGGGTACCGTTCAGGAAAGGATCGAAGTCCGCTCCAATTTCATGTGCAACCAACGCTCCCGACCCGTTATAATCACCACCCGGAGAGAACTAGTTCTGATAGCGGAAGGAAAATGGAAAACTTACCCCCTACCGCTGCTTTTCCAGCTGTTACCAGCGACCTTTGCGGACGGCCGTACTCCGCGTGGAATTCCGACCTCGTGACATAAATTATTCCCGGGAACGAAATCCGCTGGTGCGAATCTTTGTGAGTTAGAAAAGTTATTTGGCTCTTGACTACCGAGAAATGATTGATTCTCGAATATTCGGATCGTGCGGTCTTTAGACTGAATTTTGGAGGAAAGTTTACTTAAGTGCGGATGATAATCTGACTAGTGATTCTATAGAAAAAGGGGTAACCTTTGAAGCAACACTTCGTAATCACCTTACACGGTTACTACATAAATCATGCCGAATTCTTGGTAAAGGTTCTAGAACGAAGCTTCACACGCCACAGGATCGATAGATTTGATTGGTTGGCGGTAGATTTGAAACTGTCGTGCTTCCTTTTTTCTGTGCCTTCCAGGTACTGAAGGCGACCCTTCGTTTCTTTCGCCCGACCATCCCCTCTTCCCTAACCCGACGAAAGGAGTTTTAGAACTTAAAATCGTACCGATCGAACAGCATTCATTCATTTTTCTGATGCTCCATTTTCTGGTAATGAGATATATCCACTTTTAATCCGTCTTCCGCTGAAGTAAAGAGGCCTAGATCATTCTGTTCCCTCTACTTTCCAAGAAAAACGTTTTCCACCCTCGATATACGAACAATCTCTAACAGACGTATCGCCTGTTCACCTAAACGCATTTCATCTATCGATCTTTCCAATTCGAAATAACACGCGAAAGGGATGCGAACGCAAGTTCCGAACGTCCCGGCGAAAGAGAATCGCCGAGCGTCAAAACATGCGCACAAGGGCGTACACACGGATTTTCGGGCAGGAGAATTTGAATGGACGCGACACACTTACTGGCTAATCTCGCGGAGATCAGCCTTTCTCGTCTGGGCGGGCAATTTCGCGAGGAATTCTTCCGTCGTGACGGAAGAGAGCCCCTAAAGGAGGGTCTCGTTTCAGCGCGGTTACGTTTTCTGGCGTCGGATCACCGGGGATCCTGCGTACCAAATGTCCCACGTGACCCGTCGACCTTTGCGCGCGTAAACTCTCTGTTTGTCGATCGAACAGAGGACGATAAACAAACGCGGACCTAACACCGCGAGCAGTTCGGAGCCACGCGACGTTTCTCATTCAACAAGCACACCGTTCGATGCTCTTTTCGATATTTCGTCTCAACGAACGATGTAACGGAGAAACCGCGACGAATACGGAAACAGGCTGGCTAATTAACTGGCGAAATCGATGGGAAATTCCAGTACATACCTTTTCGATGTGTGTACGAAGCTTATCCGAAAAAGCGAAGCCAGCACTCGCTTCAATCCACACAGTGTTAAGCACTATCGAAGCACACTGAATCCACCAAAATGCACACTCTGGGTTCCTGGGTTTCTCTGAGATTTCTTTGGCTTGTTACGAACTTAATAAACACACGCACACCCCGATAATCGAACGGTGAAACGCACGCGTTTCAACTTCCTCGGAGCCGTAGCGTGTCGCGCGAACCCTACCGAGATCTGCGCCAATGCGTTTGCGGCTTCGAACTCTGAGCGGTTCTTCGTCTTGATCCCCCCTCCCTCGGCCATATAGGGATTCCATCGCATTTTACCCCTTCCTCGAGGTTCAGCCGAGCTGGTCAACAATTGAGATCCCCTCGAAGCGGTCAGCATCATCTATGAACTTATGGCAGAACTTGCTCTTGTAATTGTCTTTTCGTATACGATTTTTTCATTGATTTCTTTTTCACTGGAATATTTAGTGTTTACTGAGAATTGTGGGTTGTAATATTATTGATTGATATTTAGTTCTTAAGGAATATCATGGGATAAATAGAGTTGAAAAGACTTGTGGGGTCATCTACGGTGAAACGCTCAAGCGGGTAGCTAGTTTGCTTCATGCGTTTTTCGACGTATGGTATCATAATATTTTTTTAATGGATATTTCTTTGAAAGGTTTAGTTTCTTTGTGGAATCAATGTTAGGACTAATTATGTACTGTGTACGTTTCGTTTTTAATTAATATTTGATACTTAATATGATAAGCCGTGAAAGGAATTGTATCTCCATCTGCTAAGGAAAGGGAGTACTAAACTTTGAAGTCAGTGAGTGATTTGAGCAGTTTGTTGTAGATGACGCAACATGTCAGTGGTTTATTTTTTTAATATATATTGAAAGAGCTAAATATCAATTAGAATTCGTATGATTAACAATGTTTAATATATAATAGCGACATGGAAAAATTACAAATGAATTTTATATATTTTAATGACAAATGTACCTACTGATATCACTGTCAATCTGTGTGTTGATAGTTGCCATTTTTCCCGACAGTCTTGATCATGTTCATAGTAGATATACATGAAACAAACATAACCTTTTATTAAAGAACTTATTTAAACAATCCATAAAATAAATGTAAATATACAATGGCTGAAATAGAAATATTTAATAATGTGATATCTGTAATTGATAGTAATACGAAGAAGCCGGAACAATTTTTGAGGTAAGTGTATATTCCTTGTATTATTTATATTAACCTAATAAAATTAATTAACGTCACAGCGTGCAAAATGAGGCAGCTCTAAACTTTAAAAATTCGACGAAACGTTTATATGATTTCTTAAAAGAGCAATCAGAAAGGAAAACGAATGCTTTGCCAGAGCTTGTAACAGAAGGTTTTGATGAAGAACAAATCTGGCAGCAACTTGAATTACAGAATGAAAGTGAACTTGTGCATTTAATATCTGGGGTTTCAAGGATTTTAGCTGGTGGTAAAAAATTAACGATACCAGTTACTACGGAGAAACCAACAATTATTGATAGTGCTAAAGAGGCTGTGGTAAATGAAAATGATGGAGACAAAGATGATGAAATAGAAAATCAATCTGAAGATGGCGGTTCAGAGGATGAAACAGTAACAAAAAGTAGTCTAAAAAAGCAAAAGAAAGACAGCAAAAATAAGAGAAAGAAGTCATCTATAGTAGATGACAAATTCTTTAAATTGCAAGAGTTAGATGAATACCTAACTAAGGAGGAGAGGAAAGAAGTACAAAATGAAAAAAGTGAACAAGACTCTGATGAGGAATCGGTAGATCTGTTTAATGATTTTTCTGATGATGATGATGAAGAGAATAAAAGTGGAGACGAGAAGCTACTAAAATATACAGACTTTTTTGATAGTCCACAAAGTGAAGATGAAGAATTTGATGATTCTATGCAAAAGAAAGATAATGATAATAAGGATATAGATGACAATTCACTATGTGATGATTCAGATAATGAAATGGACATTGACGAAGGAGATGATCATAAATCTTCTAAGAAAAAAGTTACTTTCAATCTTACAAATGATTCTGATGATACAGACAGTTTAGAAAATAAATCTGTCACCAGAAAGGAAGAAGCAGATATCAAATCTTCTCTTGAAACACGTCAAGATCGGTTATTAAAAAAAATTTCAGAATTAGAGGAAGAAGCACTTGCAAAGAAACCCTGGCAGCTGAAAGGTGAAGTAAGTGCTGCCAGTAGACCACAAAACTCTTTACTGGAAGAATTCGTAGAATTTGACATTATAACAAGGCCTGCTCCAGTTATTACAGAGCAGACCACATTAAAATTAGAAGACATTATTAAGCAAAGAATAAAGGATAAAGCTTGGGATGATGTTGAGAAAAAATTCAAACCAGTGGAAACCCCAATGGAATATAAAAAGAAGTTGATCTTGAATCAAGAAAAAAGCAAAGAAAGTCTATCTCAGATTTATGAAAATGAATATCTTAAACAAAAGGAAGCATTAAACCCGGATGCCGACGAGAAAGAGGAAGAGGAACCAAAGTTGCACACAGAAATTCGAGAAATGATGCATACCTTGTTCATAAAATTAGATGCTCTGTCTAACTTCCATTACACTCCACGACCAGTGAGATGATTATTAAAAAATGATTACCTTTCTCTTTTCGCTATTTTTTCTATATTTCTAATGACTTTTATGTACATTTTTTTAGATCGGACCTGAACTTAAGATCATTAGCAATATTCCAGCAATTAATATGGAAGAAGTAGCACCAGTAGGAGTTAGCGATGCTGCTTTATTGGCTCCCGAAGAAATTAAGGGTAAATAGTTTATTCGGAATATTTTCTTCTGAGTTTTTAAATATTCATCTGTATCACTCGTTCTTTCGTTTTGTAGCGAAACAACGAGGCGACCTAATTGGCAAGGGAGAAAGAACAAAGACGGATATGAAGCGAGAAAGAAGACATAAGAAGATGAGGCAACGAGCTCGACGAGAAGCTATGGAGAAGAAAGAAAAACTGAACGCGTTGAAACCGGGAATAGACAAGAGATTTAAAAAGAACAACGCCGCGGAATTGACGAAGAAGCTGACCAAAAATCGTAATATTATTAAGATGGACGAAACGGGACAAAAGGTTCCAAAGTCGTCTACTGCGTTCTTCAATCAACTGCAGGACCAAGTGACGAGTCACATCAAGTCCAAGACCGGTGCGCGCTCTCGGAAGAACCAGAAAGATACATTATCTGCAGTAAAACTAAAATTATAATTTTTGTATAAAGTTTTTTAAATACAAGAGATCATGTTGTACAGTAATCATCATATTAGACCTTAAAATCGATTTCCATGAAATATTAACTTTAGTGGAACAATAAAATGCAAAGGGTTGAATAATTATGCAAACTTTCCAACACGAATGTGGACTTTATATTATCAATTGTTCCGTGATTCATACAACTTTTATATTTATGTAATATAATAAGCGCACTGGAGGAATCTATAAATAATAGTTTCAATTGATACGAGCGCATATTATTATTCCATTTTAAATAATTGCATTGTAATACAAATTTCAGGTAACTATCATCTTTTGCACAAAATTAAGTTCCGAGCTAATGTTATTTTCATAAAGGACGCAGTAAAGGAGCATGATTGCAAATGATCAAGGATAAAGGACCTTAAAATGATTTACAGATGCTATTTGCAATTTAATCAATCATTTGCGTATACATATTGATGCGTTCATCAATATGTTAATTATTGTCCGAGCAATAGTATTGAAACTACTTTTGACATAGGATAATTAAAACGAATTATACGCGTATTGAATATTTTTATATATTAGTGAAAAATGTTCCCAATTCATCATGATATGCTGCAATTTTTTCTTTCAATCTTGCTTATCAGAATTCTCTAGACATGTACAAATGCACTAAATCACACGTGGTTACTTATAAATGCAATTATTCGTATGTGTAACATTATCTATATTTTTCTTTAGGAATATCTAAAAATGGTGTCTTGCACAGAGAAGCAAAAGTGGATTACATAATATTTTTTTGTACATCATT